TCCAAAACGTTTTCACAAATAGACCTGAGTATTGGGTAGCTGCACCAAATGTTTCAACCCACTCGACTCTAAAGATCTTGAGCTGTCGAATTTTTCGTTCGTACAGGTAGTGAAAGGAGTTTTCACTCTTTTATTTTCAATTACAATTTTTGTGATGGCATGAGCTTTCATTGAAAATAAAACGGACTTGACGAACGTTTCGAATTAGCGGGATGCTGATCGACATAGTGGCTGCCAAACCAGTCGTATCTGGTAAGTTCGTGAAGCGTCCTGAAGGGAGAGACCGTAAAAATTCGATATCTCGTCAAGGAAGAACGGTGAGCAAGAAATATCTTTAGCCTTTTCTAGTCTTATCAAGATCTTTACGTGATCAAAAGATGGGGGTCAAAATCAAACCGACAGTTGCGGGTCTTTTCTCGTAATACTCTTATCAATTATCATGGTGAATGATGAGTCATATTCTTCTTCTTTTTCACGCCAAGAATGTGCAGAACTGCATGCGAAAAAAAAAATATTTAATTCTAAAGTTTACAAAGTACGAAAAGAGAATGACAGTTCATAATAATGTCATTCGAAATATATGATGCATTCATTCATTCATTAAAGCTCTACATTAAACACAGAAGTTCGATTCTTTTCTCATTTTCTCTAATCCTAGATTAGAGAAAAAAATATATTTAGGTACATATTATATAGTTTATGTAGATAAAGTACGACAGGATAGGTATATATTTTTGTTCTTGATCTACGAAAGAAGATAGTATGATAAATTCAACTGATTAAATTTTTACTACGACAAAATTTGATTATGTAGACAAAAAAGCTGGTATGTATGTGATCTGTTTATTTTGCGATTATCCGGTAAATTATTAACTGCCAATAGGAAATAAAATACAGTTGAATGTGTGCACATAAAAACAGGAAAAAATGTATAAGTAGAGAGTTGTGTGAGTCAGGCTGACATGAGTGTGCTTTCTACGCTTATGTTCTTATTCCCATGACTGAAAAGACATGGATCTAGAAAAATAATTGTGTGTCTGTCTGTTTGCTCGCACCTTATTCACCATTTTCAAGGCGAATTTCGCATAAGAAGGATGTTTACAGCTACTGATAGATCGTTTGTTGGGCTAGAGTGATTATTCATCAGTGTATGAATATGTAGCAAAGTGTAACACACAAACACAATCCTTGTACAGATAACAGACAGAACCGAACTGTAAAAATAAATTTTGACGTTCTGTCATATGCAACGCTTGAGATTGTGCGGTCAGTATCACTCCTAACAAATAGTATACAGCCGACCCCTATTTTTACCAGGATTTTTGTACTTTTTCTTATGGCCCTTTGGTTTGTGTCCGGATTCACTAAAAAGTGGCACTATAAAAAGTGATACAAGCAAGTTGTGATAAAGTTTCGGAAGTTTGTTTCCCGTCTGTCTCAAGTACGTATCAGTCACGGGACCTGGTGTATTAGCATGGTGCTAGTTACTTGTGAGAAATAGAGAAGACTCCATCAGTGGGAATACAAGAGTAGGGTTGAATATGGCTCTTTATCAAGTATGATCCTCAAAAGTCAGTGCAGAGAAAGAACGATCAATCTGCCTCAATCGATGTTCAAATTTTTTGACATTCACCAATTCTGAGAGTTGCTTAAAAAATTACTGTACTTTACTAAAAAACTCAAAACACTCGCATTATGAAAATATTAAAAACATTCGCACTTTCTGACTTATTTTTCTGCAAAAAATAGAATTTTTTACTTGAAATCAAGATTGATTACACAGAACACACACATGCTACTCTATCAGGATACACATACACTTCGACTCTGGAACAACTTGTGCACTAGAATTGTAAGTTATTCTAAAGTCGGAGTAAAGCAAAAATGAAACATTTCAAAAACTGAATTTTCAAGCTCGAATACACTTATTATAGAAGTCCTCATATTTAATTAGATAAACGTACACTACACCACTTGGACCATCTGACTATAACCTGTGTTTGTGACCACAAGTTTACAGACATATGTTTAGCATATGGGCGAGCATATGCCGCTGAAAAACGTGTGTTTATATTTAAAAAATCTTGAGCAATTCCATCTATATCAATTCAATCGAAGAATTTTAAAAGCGTGTTCGGTCAAAACTGATCGCAGATTCGGACTCTCCACAGTCTGTTACTTTATAAGCAACAAGTTTTGAATCGAGGTACTCCAGAAAAAATTTTCTCCATTGTTTTATAAAAGAATTATTTATAAAATTCCTGAAGGAAACGGAACCAAAGGCTATATGAGACTGAATTTTTGAGAGTCCGAATCTGCTGCACTCATTTTTGGTCGAACACGCTTTTAAAATTTCGCGACTAAACTGATATGGAGCTTCAATTAGTATTCTGATGACCTATTTCACAAATTAAAGAGCTCTAGTTTATAGTAGTTTTTTATCTTTTCACATATGACAACATTATAGCCACATTTTGTCTAAGAAAGACGTAGACCCTAGCTGGTGAATAAGAAAACAAGAAAAAATAAACTTATTTCTGGCAAAAGAACGAAGGACGAAAGAAAACACGCTTATCACCTCGTTACCGCATAGCCTATACCCATATATATCGTGTGTAAGGAGTTTGCAATGTGACATACAAAAAAGCGCTATATATACATCTGATGATACTTACCAGAACAGAAGAACATGAAAGTTTAATTGCAGAAGTCACAAAATGTTACAATAGGAATGGGTACATTCTACTTCTCACGTTTTCGAATAGGATAATTTTTGGAGTCATCCTAAATATTATACATTTCTCGAACAGTTTCAATTGTCTCGATCGTACAATGCTTCTTAAACTTCGTATGTGTCTAATGTGATTTTAAGCGAGGTAAATTTTATATATTTGATTTGTAGAGTCTCTATTATTTATTGATTGATACATTAATAATCACCAAAATGAAAATTTATCCTCTGTTTGATCTTCTTAGATTTTAACGATAAGATAAAATACTGACGGTAACGAAATAGAATGGTGTTAGTTAATAGATTATGAATAATTTCAAGACAATGTGTAACTCTATGATTTCTGAGAACTCATCATACAGCTCCATTTAATATTTCGTGTCACAGTCACTAATTTTCGTCAAAATGAACGGTTAAATTCTATCGAATCTAATCGGATAAAAAGGTATTTTTGTGTTTCGCACCCTGAACTGATATTTTTTCTTCTCTAGTAACTACAAATAATAACGGTCTGATGATTGATTGATATATTTGTTTATATTCTTGGATATACAGATAATGACGTTCAATATGTTTCTAATGATAATAAAAAAGTAATGTAAGCTCTTTTTATTTATAGATTAAAATAAAGCAAAGCATGTCTGATATAAAAGTCTGTGATATATCTCAAACTGATATATTACAAACATTGAATCGAATCAATTTCGATTCATGGAATTCAACTGATTCAAATGTTTTATCGTATTTAAAATCACCCATTCAGCATGCAGCATTCGCCGCTAATTCAGATACTATCGGCAAAACATTACGTCAATCGATTATTCATTTTCTTGATACAATCGATATTGATCGTAAAAATGTTTTGAAAGATGATGAATTTCGGTCAACACGTACAAAACACTATGAAATATTAGAACAATCAAATAATAATAATAATAATAAGACAACAATTGAAATAACAAATTTAGCACCATTAGCATTTGAACAATTAAGAGAAAAGATTCATATTTCAAGACAAGATTTTCGTTCATCATTCGCTGATGGAGATTTAATTAATTTTGCTAATACGGGTAAAAGTGGCTCACAAATGTATAAAACTTATGATGATGTTTATATATTAAAAACTCTTCGAAATCACGAAGCAAAATATTTGATACAGATATTACGTGGATTATATTCACGTTATACCCAATTATCAACATTAATGACGAGGTATATTGGCTGTTATAGCATTAGAATTGGCGCACTATTTACAACTGAAATTTACATTGTAATTATGGTCAATAATTTACCGTCTGTGGTCGATGTACATGAAGTTTACGATTTAAAAGGATCAACAATGGGAAGATTATCAAGTATTGATTTACCAGAAAAACGATTAAAAGGTATAATGATATAAAAACGTTTGCATGTAATCATTTGCTGTTAATAAAAGATATTGTTTGTAATCGATAATGGCAATGTTTTCAAGATTTCTTCACATCATCTCTTTCGAAACTCTACATTATTTATTTTTCTCTTTTACAGCACTAAAAGATTTGGATTTTGAAGCGTATTATCCTCACGGTATTCGTATTCCAACAGAGATTTATCATTCATTAAGACGCGTTTTACAATCTGATGGAGAAGAATTAAGAAAATTGAATATTACAGATTATTCATTAATGCTTGGTATACATCATATCGATTATGAGTATAAAGACAATCATATTAGACGACCCGAATTAGGTCTCAGTACACTATTTTTGGCCACACAGTTCGCTACACTAAACAAACACACATCACCAAAAACACCACCATCACCAACTGTGTTAACAACACTAGTCACTGGTACAACAAATGGTATCAAAACATTAAAACTAAAAGAAAAGAAAAGTGATTCTTTGAAAATGGAAAAATTTCTTATGAAACCGTTAAAGTTGATACATTTGCCGAAAGCACAAACATTTGATGATATATTAATTGCAAAACAGCTTTTAGGTAAAGAAATTACTAACGTATTAACATCTAAATCTGTTAAATAAAAATAAAAAATGAGTTGCCCAATTTTGTTATGTACAATGGAAACAGATGCATAGCTAGATATTTAGATTGTTGAAGAATTCAGATTCCACTATTGATGATTTAGAGATAAATGTTCATTTTTTCAGAAAATTATTATACAACAGTGCGTATATTTACGATGTAATTATGTTTGCTTTTAGCTATTCCTGGTGTTACTGAGAAAGGACACCGTGTTTTATTATATATGGTTTTTATTGATATATTACAAACTTATGATAATTTCAAATATTTTCAGTACATGTTTCAAAATCTAAGAGATAGAGAACACGCAAATCAATATAGGTTAGTAAATCGAAATAAAGGTCTTGTCTTATGTTTAATTTAAAACTTAACTTTATGTTTTATCTGTTGCACTTTCTTATTGCTACTTTTCATTTAAATTAACTATAGAACATTTTCTTTTAGTGTCATAAGCCCCGATCAATATGAACAACGTTTATTTGAATTTTTGTTCGAACATGTATTTATCGATTCTGGTCTAACATTAAACGAATTATTGAAGTCTAAAGATAAAGGACAATACTTTAAACATCATCATCATCATAATCGTCCTCACATTACTTTACCGAAAATAACACGTTCACATTCATATCATGCTAACGTTAATGATAATAATCAAAATCAAAATGAACAGGATAAAACATCAAAACGAAAATCAGCCAATATTTCATTGAATGAGCAAAATAATGGTTTAAGTTTATCTATATCACTCGATAAAAATGACATGAATAATAGGCGTCGTTCAAGTGCATTTGAAATAATAACCTTACCTCCTCAACCAGTTGAAACAACAACAACAACAATCACGACCACTACGGTAGAAGTTAAAAGTATTATTCAAGAATATACAATTGTCAATCCATTATTTAGCGAAATTGAGAATAAATCACCAAATGTTCTTCATGAGTTAGTTCAACTATCCTCAATTCCTTCAACTCCGTCAACTCCCTCGTCGTCTAAAACATTGAATCAATTAATTATACCAAGTATTCACTGTGATCAAAATGAGAATGAGAATGAAAATGAAAAAAGAACGTTTTTATGATGATTTTTTCTCCCTTATTTGAGAATGTCCAAATATATGTGATTGTAATTCCAAATTATGATTTTTTTATTATTTTGTTAAGTTCTTGTTCTCATCTGGTTCCTCTGTTAATTAAACGCATACTATGTGCATTTACATTTTTGTTATTGTTGTTACATTCTATTTCCTTTTCATTGTTATTTGTTATTCTCATTCAACGATGTATACGCATGTGTTTTTGCTATTAATCATGTTCTTTTCTATCTAAACATTAATTTCTTTTACAATTTAGACAAGTATAACTATAATAATAGCTGATTTATTGAAAAAGTTTTTATGCTAAAGATTTCCTTACGGGAGAAGGTCACCCAACTGTCACTCCAATTTCTCTTCGAAATATACTTGATTAGCGATAATTTTGGATTAATCAGGAATTTAGTATTTGTCCGTGCCAATACGGCTTTTCAGAGTCTCAATTTAAACTCAAAGTTTCCCAGAACCTATTACAAGCTTTGGTCTAGACAACTTTTGATAGTGTCAGATTACACGGCTTGTCTAAGCGTAATGGCGTGATATTTTTTACGCAATAATTTTCGAATTTTTCGAGAACAGAATGAGCTGAAAGGGTGATTTTTGCGCAATTTTATGCAGCTCTTCACACTTTTAATTTGTGACGTACAAAAAGAATTTTCGTAGCGTAACGGCGTGACAGAAAAAAGCCTTTTTTTCAACTTCCACGGAGGATGCTAAATATCACGCGAAGTCGTTTCTGAGCAATGAAAAGATGAGTGAAACCAAACTTGTAGAGCAGTGAATGAGCTACAAAATGGTAAAACAAAATTCTCGAAGGGACTTCTGCGCCGCACAGCAAAGTGAATTTTAAATGTAACGGCGTGACACATTTTTTTCAGCCGACTCCGCTACGGTTTTTTGAACAAGATAAGAGTGATGTAACCGCAATTCCGAGTGAGTTCTAAAGTTTGGGATAGGAAGAAGCAATTAGAAGGGATAATAAAGTTAAAAACATTATTTAAATATTTTAAAACTTTATAGCAAAAAATGTTCTTTTTGGAGATTTTAAAAAGTTCAAAAACCGTATAAAACCTACTCGCGAGGTCCAAACTTTAAAAACAATGCGCCACTTTGTAGAGAATTACATTCTCTATCAAACTAACTGATTTTAAAAAATTTTTAACAAAGTATCTAGATGAGGAAATGAAAAATAAAGTTTTTAATATTTTAAAATTCAATTTTATTTTTCAAATTTAAATTTTTATTTGTTAAAAATATTAGATTCGTAATCAGCATGAAAAATTACATCTAACCATGTGCTCAATGCCTTTCCTCGATGAAAAAAGGTTTTTCAAAACTTAATGAGCCAAATGTCGCTTTATGTGGACAAGGCGTACAAAGCATATCAAGTTATCTATGGTAGAAATACATTTGATAATCATTTAATTAGATAGACGTAAATTGTGGCGTCAACCATATCAATTGGATATTGAAAAATGCATCGTGATTGATATTGTTTGTGTAAAACCACCTGTGCTGCTCAAATCAACGTCACAAAAACGTTCAGTCAAGTACTTTATGATGAAATGACTTACAGAGAAAACTGAAAACTGTTCTGACTAGCAGAAACAAGATTAAAAGTTATTTACAAGATATACAATGAAAATACTGAATAACCAAAGTGTTGTTGGTGTGAATCAACGAAACACTCTCCTCTCTCCAACTATGCTTTTTCTGTATACCGTCAGTACACCGATTTCTTTATATACATCGATTGTTTCTGTGTATATATAAACAACACAGGATTTGAAAATAATCAAAGTTTATCATCTGTGTCGTAAGTAAATGAATTTGTTTATTTTTTATATTTGACAATATTTATGCGTATATACAAATCAAAAAGAAAGAAAAAACATGTACTAAAAAGACGTTCTTTTCCTTTAGTTGCTTTCGTTTATACAACGATAGAATGAACAACAACAAAGAACAAAAAAACACACATAAACAAACAGATGATGACAAAAAAAACGAAAGTGACTGACGTTATAAATTATTCTATAAGATTAAACGAGGAAAAAAAAGAGATCCTAACATGTGAATCTACAACAGCATAAATTCACTGCATATGATAAGCACACACGTGGAAGCAATTATATCAAATCACGAAACAAAGAGTAAGTTATATGACAAAATAAAGATAATTTGAAAAAAATAATTTGTGCTAATGCAATTATTACACATATCGAGAAATAAATGAGTATGACAAAAGAGAGAAAGAAAATTACCGGTGATGAAATAAAACAAATAAAAGAGTATCTTTTATTCAGCTGTTAATGAAACAAGATCTTGTTTTGTTAACAACTTTTTAATTATTTTTGAACATCGTGTTCTTGTGTTATATGAATGAGTATTAGATTTAATTGACAATGGTGGTAAAGAAAATAGTTTATTTTTTAGTACTGATGATGAGCGATATGATTTTCGATGACTTATTTTTTTTGTATCTAGTTGTGGTGATGATGTTGATAGTGGTGGTTGTGATTCATACTCGATTGATGATACAATTGATAATAGTACAGTTTCTGCTGTAGTTGTAATATCTTGGTCAACTACATTATCAATAACGGATGATAATAATAATGGAATTTCTGTTTGAGACTGTGATGGTGTTTCTACTATTGTAGGCTGACATGAAACAACCGTCGTCATTGATGATGGAAGAATCATATCACATGAATGATTAGCATCTTCATCTAAAATAGAGATAAATCCGATTGTTATAAAATGATGATAGAAAGCTACGCAAAAGGACTTTTATCACACACAAAGGTAGTGATTCATTTTCGATAAAATATCTCTGAAAATGCCATAGAGTATATAAGTTTATTCTCTTCTCACCATCATGACATATACGTAAAAGTTCACGTTGTTCAAAGTCACTAATATTTGTCAGATCAAGATTATTGTATCTAACATCAATTTGTAAACTTCTTTCTTCTAATTCAAGCCTCATAATCGTATCTAAGAAATGATTTCTAACACGAATGGGATTAAATTCAGTTCGACCATTTGGATTTCGACATTCTAATCTTGAGCAAGCACACGGAAATGATCGACGATCAACCTTGAGAGAAAATGCAATAAAACAAAACAAATTACAAAATCTAGTCTAGATAAGTAACAGACACTCTTACTTGACAAGATATTCCATTTTGAGAACATTCACAGATGAATGGATCACATTTTGCCACACACGAACATCCACATGTTTCACGTGATTGTCGAATTAATTGTAAATCTTTTTTTTCTTGATTATCTATTTTTTTAATACCAGATTGTTTCAATATACTACGACGTTCACGCGTTGGAACCGGTTGTAAAAAATAATAATCATGAACTGGTAACTGTTCTTCAATATCCTCATCTGAACAATAATTAACAATATTTGTTATAGGTATTGAATCATCATTATTCAATGAGTGTATAGTTGTGGATACTGAAGGTGGTAGAATTTTTCTCTCGCGTAAAATTGATTTATGAATGTGACGTTGGCGACGAGCAAAATCATTGATTGTGTAACTTTCACTGTGAGAATGTTGTTGTGCCATTCCTAATTAAATATACGAAAAAAGTAGTTTGACACATTTGTATTTATTATGAACAAAATGCATAAAAAACGCTTTATAACTACTGTATCTGTGTATAATTAACTATTTACTTTATCTCTTACCTAAGGTAGTGCCACCTGCACTTGGTACACAAACAAAACCTTGTGAACGATCAAAATAGTACACTGTAACATCTTCAAAACTAACGGAATGTTTTTTCTGTTTTTTTGAGAGACTATCTGTTAGTGTCATATCTAAAATAAACGATAAAACGTTGATATTAGAATACCATTACAATCTGAGACGTTTACACCTCTCACGTCTTCCTCTAATTAGACAGTTAACCTTTTTTAAATCTAACCTTCAAATGCTGAATCTGAATTACTGCATACTCCAGATGAAAGAGCATCTTCATATTCTTGACTTATTGATGATGTCGTAGACGATGAATCATCTTCATGAGTTGACGTATACATTTTTTGTTCTTTCTGATTAACATTATTTTCTTCAATTAAACTTGATAGTTGATGCTTTCTTTTTGGCATCTCTAGAAAATAGGAAACAATTCGATAAAAATCTGATCAAATAAAAAATGGATAACTGATCACTGTACATATTGTAGAGAAAAAAAAGTTTACATTACCGATTGAGATGCTCTTAACATACAACAACAACGACAACAGTGGTGTGCGTGTGTGATTATTCGTTTTATTAGGGCACTGCTGCTCAATGTATGCATGTTGCTGGTTTGAAGAATACCCAGACTATTCTTTCTCCTTTGTAGAGGTTTTCAACGATGAACTACTTCATTATGCACTCTCACAAACTGATGATCATTAATAAAGCCAAATAATTCATGGTAACATAGAGCATAGAGAGAGAAAACACAATTGTTTGTCATATCTTGATGAAACTACAGCACAGCAGGGCAATAATGTCAGGAGAGTGGTAATGATCATGTCAGAAATTAACAAGACAAAAATGAAACTGTTATTTGGCTATTGTTCTCTACACATATACCTAAAAATAATTGACAATATAAAAATTTTGTAAAAGACAAAATACCACTACTTATATCATTTTTTAAATGCGCTTTCGACAATAATCAAACATATTTCTAATTTGTTTTTTAATAGATAATCGCTAGGAAAGTGTGTACTACCTGTCAGTGTTTCAAGAATAAAGAAAGATGCCTAAAATTCCTATTATCTTAAATAATGCTTAGCAGATCAAACATTATCTGTTGGACTTTTTTAACGTACAATTTGTACTCTTTCTCTCCAACAATTACTTACGTGAGATCTAATAACCTCTTTTATGTTAATTAAACATAAGTACTGTCCGTCATATTTTTACTTACTTAATTGAATCTTTGCCTCGTTAAATCAAATAAATCGTTTGTTCAAGAATGAAACTGAATTATTTTGATTTCTATAATAAAACAATGTACATTTTACTACACATAAAAAGTAGTAGATCACCACATCGATAAAAATGTTCGTACAATCAAGAATACAATACATCAAAGTGTTGCATCACCTTCTGTTGAACTTTAACCAAAAAATTAAAAAATACAATTTTAAACTGTAATTTGATCGGTCTTGTTTCCATCATTCTCAAAGAATATTTTTAAAAGACAAGAATGAATTGATAATTACCTCGTAGAAAAACAAACGTTACAACAAAACAAATAGTTCAATATCTGAAAAAAAATGAGATAACATCTTTAGCATGTATATATAATATATATCTATATATAAATAGCTAAGAAGAATAAAATGAAATTGTAATTCATTGACGATATGTGTACAAATTAGAATTTATCTAATTTGTACATCTTAGAATCAGTAGACTTTCTTTTGGATGTCCAAGTATGTGAATCATCAGATCGTTGTATTCACATGCAATGGCATCCGTTTTCAATGATCAGTAAACATTTTAAACTAACAAGATAAGCTAATTTTCTTTGAAAAGGATATGGTAATATCTATTAAACAGAGTAAAAACATTATTTACAATTAACTTTTTAAAAAAACCATCATCATATGATTCAAATGCTAAATACTATCACCCGATTAATAATTAACTTTTTTTTCTATTAACAAAGATGACCATAATGAAAAGCATCGACTGGTAAATCGATTTCTTATCGATGTCGTCTTATTTAATAAGAGTCTTGTCTTTCGTAAGAAGAAATGATCTGTCATTGTTTTTTTTTGAAATACGCGAATAATTCTGATTATGTTTGCTATAACTCTCTACTTTTCGCAGATATCTCAACCAAAATAGTGCAAACTGTTAAAAAAAAAATGTATTAAATTAACAAAGATGGAAAATAAAGGATGTCAAATGATCTGGCAGGTGCGCAAGCTGTTCTATCTCTTAAATTTAAAATTGTGGATAAAATTAGAACAAAATTTATGTAGAAAAATAAAACAGGTAGCGAATGCCTAACAACATACTCGACATCTTTAATCTTCATTGTTCTTCCGTTTTCATTATATTAATTTAATGAGAGAACTAATATTACTCTTATCAGTTAATTCCACACGATATATGGCCACGCAAAATGTTGAAAAAAAAAGCAGCTCTCTTTTTATGGTTGTTTTATTTACACGAATAAGAAGGAAAAATGCACTGTATATAATTATTCGTTGAAAAACGAGAAAGAGAGAGAGAGAGAATAAATTACAAATATTTGTAGAACCAAGATATAAATAAAAGAAAAAAGAAAAGAAAACAGATTCTAACCGAAAAAATAAAACATAGGTTGATTATCATGGTTTTTGTTGAAAAAGTTTTTCTCTCCTTTAAGCAGAAAAATACAGCAAGCATGGTTAAATAATAATGATAGAAAAAAACGAACAACTTTGTACAAAAAAGAAAAGATTAATACTCGTTCTCATGATTAATAATGAGATCAAACTGTTTTAATATATAAATTAAATTAAAAAATATTTTTATTTGTATTTTCAATGACGACTTTGAAACCAACTATTGTCGCCTGAATCGAATAGATATTCGACAACTTTTGTTATATTATTTTCATGTTCTATTAGTAAACGTCGATTTTGTTCACGATTAGCAAAACCCATGTCAATTAAATGACTCATATTTAAATCAAATGTTGACATAGATGATGAATTATTTGTTTGAGATGTCACTGATGATAACGAAGTAAATGGAGTTGTTTTGGAATTTAATGACGAAATTAAAAATTCATTTTCATTTTCACCATGTTGAATTGTTGCAAAATAATCATCACCATTATGCAACTCTTCTGTTGGTGTTGTCGAGACAGTTGATAATTGTGGGGGTATTTCAACGTTTACTGGCGGCGCTGGGGGTGCAGTAGGTACAGTAGTCTGTAATGAGAAAATAAACTCAACCGACAATACAGAGTGAAGTATAACAGTACTTTTTAGATTTTTAGAATTTCTTTTCCTTAACTACGTCAATTATTTTGCATTATTCTCTTTTTAGCCTTTTTGGAAACACTTTCTAGTTCAAGATGAGATGCAGCTTATGAACATGCTCTCTGATCAAAGTCTCACTTTCTTTTTCTTACTTCATCATTTGCTTGTAATGTTTGAAATATTGCTTTTGCCGTTGAACTAGCTTGTTTTGCCACACTAAATATGTTTGTAACAACTGAGTCGACAAAATCAAGTGGTTGACCACTAAAAAATAACCGTATAGAAATATTGTACGATGACATTAATCATAAACTTACTTGGATTTTTGTGGTGTCGATGGAGGTGCTTCTGGTAATGGAACATCACCATTCAGTTCGGTTATTACGAGTGTTATTGGTAATGGTACTGTAGCACTTTCTTGTTCTTGTTGTGTTTGCTGTACTTCTACAGTATTAGCTCTATTTTCTACATTTTTAACAAGTGCATAAGATTTAACTTCACGTGGTTTGCAACGTTTATCAGACGGTGCTTCATCCAAAAAATCAGCACAAAACAAATCCTGATCATCATCTAGAAAAGATCAAAAATATGAACTGAAGAAGAAACATTTCAACTTGTTTATGCAACATATCTTTCTCTTCATGCGAAAGTATTCTAACTATAAAATAACAGAATTCTAACTGTAAATAATTCATTTATCGTTTGACAAAGCAAGTGAACTGATGAAAACTTTGAGATGAAAGAGCATGGCTCATATATATTTCGCAAAATGTTGATCTCTCTCAAGATATAAACAAATATCAAATATTCATACCATTTATTGAAGATGATACTGAGGATAATCTTGAATAAGTAATACTGGTCTAAAATACGAAGAAAAAAATCAAACGTCAATTATATAAAACATAATAAAAACATACCCGATTTGAATGATTATTACCATAATTATCATTGGTCAGCATGGGCATCTCTAAAAGATTGTTAAGAAAACAAAAAATTTTTAGAATATCTAAACACATAAAAGTACATACCTTTTGGTTTGAATGGTTTTGTTAAATCGAAACATGTTGGTAATGGTATATCCATTATATCGAACGAGTTACTTATTGTTGATACTAGAAAAAAAAAATTACAAATCATTTTCTTACTTGTCTTTTCAAAACGTTATTTTTCATTAAAAAGAAAATTCATTTCAAAATCTTTAATCATGTGTTCTGTAAATGATCCTTTGCCTCTACTAACGATCTTACATTAGCAAAGTGTTGAGAAACATTTTGTGTGTATTCGCTCTTGGACAAGAAAATGGAGCCACAAATGTTTTAGAAATCAAACACGGGCACGCTACTGTCCTTTGGATTTTTCTTGTTCGAGCCACTTCAAAATCTTTAATCAGAATGTGTTCTGTAAATGATCCTTTGCCTCTACTAACGATCTTACATTAGCAAAGTGTTGAGAAACATTTTGTGTGTACTCGCTCTTGGACAAGAAAATGGAGCCACAAATGTTTTAGAAATCAAACACGGGCACGCTACTGTCCTTTGGATTTTTCTTGTTGAAAAAAACCACAATTACCTGAACAACACGAATCTCGATGACTAAACGAAGAAGGTAACACCGTGACATAATTATTATTTGATGATGCTGATGATAATGTAATTGTTCCTGTACTTTCCATCATTATATTATCATTCCGACCTATTTCATAATTTGGTATAATTACCTTTACAAACATAATAAAAATAATTTATTAGAGCGTGAGAAATATAGAAAGAGTCATACTTACTGTATCATCTACAACTCTGATTGAACACCAAATCATTGGACCGAAGGTATAATGACGATATGACAATATCCATTTACTTTCAAAAACACCTGAATGAATGAATAATTATATAACTTATCAACTTCATATTCATTTTCAAGTTAAACAATTTTTTCTAACTTACCCGTATCATTTGGGGCTATGAAATCAACATAAATATGAGCACGAGAATGTGGTGCTGTTACTGGAACATGTGGTTCATTCACAACTTTGATACTATCGGATAAATTTGTTAATTTAACATCAGTATCATCCCAAGGCAAACTACCATCATTTAATAATATCCAACATTTACGAAATACTTCATTTGGCTTGACATGTGAACCATCGGGGATATTTTCATCAGTAACAAAACGAGCTGAATAGGGTCTACAAAAAGAAAAATGAAAAGATCCATATTTCCATTTCTCACAATCGTATTAACTCGACAAAGAAGTGTTATTTCATACTTTAATAATTTAATTTTTTCTTCCGTTTTTAAAACATCTTTAATTCGTCCATTGAATGTTGCTGTTTCTAAATGATCATATAAATCAGCTATTTTCAATTTCATGGATGCAAAAAATCGTATAATATCCTCTGGATTTGATCTGAAGAAAAGAGAAAGAGATTTAATTATAGGAAAGAGAATTTTTTTTTATCGATTACCATACCGATCATATTTTTCTAGTACTACTGAACTATGTTTTAATGTTGACAATGTTTGACGACGATCTTTTTTCTTTTCATGATCTTTTGGTTTTGATGGTGCTGGTGTCGTTGTTATCACTGCTACTGTATTGCGACGATTTTGATGCTGTTGTTTATCGACATTTTGTCGTTTATGTTTTCGTTTTAAAGAAGGGGATGTGCCATGATGATGATGGCCTACAATGAGCTCTTCTGTTGCAAACGTATCCTAAAATAAACGATTATGGTTATTAAATAAACTTATTTATTTATATCTGAAGATATTTTAGGTACATCTTTATCGTATCATCGGCTAAATTAACTGATAGGCTTATATTTTGAATTAATTATTATTTCTCTATCGAAACTTCTACTCACTTCAGCAACTGAATTGTTTTTTTCTTCATCATCGATCGATGGTGGCATAGAATCAAATAATACTGGTTTTTGTACAAGTAAATCTTCATCTGTACGCTGTTTTTTTGAATTCTAAATAGAAAACAGTTGTAAGAATTAGAAGGAGTTAGTTTATTTCATTTTTTCCAAATCTCTCATACCTTTCGTTCACTATCAAGACTCAAATCACGAATGTCTTCAGCCAACGATTTGTAATAATCATTACTCTTTTTCTATGATAATTAATATTTGTGTTATATACAAATCGAGCACAATTTTTGATATACTTACTGATCTACTATTGTTAAAATGATTAGTCAATGTTTTCAATCGTTTTGGCTTTATCAATGGTTTCAACTCATTAACACCCGTGGGTAACATATAATTCACACAAATTACATGCAATGTTTCAATTAAATCATTGACCTAAAGCGGAGACAGTATAAGATAACAAACAAATATAAAGACACAAACAAAAAGAGTTAGTAAAAGAAATCTTACATCTTCTGTTGATCGTTTAACATAGTCAATCGCTTGGAAAATATGTTCACTAAATAATATTTGATACCGTTCCATAATGATACAGTCTTTGCAATTAGCAAATACTTTTAACAAAGCGTTGTAGTCCTAAAATGATATAAAACAGAAATGCAGTTGTAAGTAGACTGGAAGATAGATCCCACTTCATTGTGATGTAGTTGTTGTTTTTTTTGTAAATTATCGGGTACAGATCCATTCTCATTGCAAAGCATATGTTTTATCACTACCCAGATAAGAAGCGTCTCTTACATTAAAAAAATCAAATCCTTTTACACTTCAGCAAATATGCTTGATAGATCTTAAGATCCATGTGTCGAGATAAGAAAAAGTAACAAAAAACCTAGCATTTTAAAAACTTACACCAGCTTTCAAATCATCAAGAGCGAATAGTTTTTTCATATTTTCAATACCATTTTGCATAACAAACTAAATATAAAATATGTTATCTTCTTTTACTTGAAACTTATTTTCTCATTTACTCGATCAATTAAAGACCGTAACCATCCATATGATAAACGATCATCAGCCATCTGCATTTTAACAAACTGATACCCATTTAAATTGTAATTACGATTTATATATTGTTTAGTTTTATGTTGTTGCTGGTATGTTGTAGTACAATCGAATGTCTAGACAATAGAAATAAATGAATGAACTAGGATGATAAAATTTCGAGAATACTTACTAAAGCCAATATATTTAGCAGACCAACTGGTACAAGTGGACAACGAAGTTGTGTACAAACAAGATCAATAAATAATTCTAAGATTTCAAAAATACCAAATTGAATATCATCAGGCCAACCATTAACAGATGGAGTATTTTGTAACTATAATGTGAAGAAAAAGACTCGAAAAATTTTGAAAGTGATAAAATGATAAGAACATACTTTACGAAAAGCATCTGGTACAATAATATCAATAAAACTTTTGCAATCCTCATTCAAATTAGCAAGACCTATGAGCAAAAGAATGAGAAGATAAGAAAATTTCGAATGAATAATTCTTTATTTAATTTCTTTTAAAGTATATAATTACCTTCATGAGTTAACTTCGTCGCAGCAACCAAACAAACGCCTAATGATTCATCTACTTTGCATGGTATATACCATTTATCGGAAAGGACCTTTTCCATTAGTTCTTTTAATTTATTTTTTGGAAATTTTTCTACATCACGATTGATATCAAGCATGCTCTAACAAACAAAACGAGATGGATTCAAGCGATCAATTAAAGTATAAGTTATCGTCACTTACAGTTCGATATTCTAATTCATTTGGCAATGTTTTTATTTGAACAATTTGTTTGTTTTGTAGCGGTACTTTATACATCCCATCGAATATACGATCATTACCAATATAAACGATTAATTTTAATATATCAACATTACGGTCACGAGCGTACTAAATAAATAAAAAAACGTTCATACCATGTAATCCGTGGTCATTTTTATTGGCACTTTCTATTCCATTCTTACCATAACGTTTTCATTGAATTCTGTTTCACTCGATAAATGAATTTGTTCGTCTTCTTCATCGATCATATAAATTTTTACTTCTTTTTTTTTATCATTACAGAGAAGTTCCGTCTGCAAAAACAAAACACCTGTTATTTATTGTGAAAGAACAAACCATAAGTACATACATATTTAATTAAATCCTTCCAATTTGTGATTTCAACTAGATTGTCATTCATTTTGACAATTGATGTGTAGCGTAATTAATGCTAGTAAAAGTTTTTATCTAAAACAGAGATTTATGTTTCAATGCATCTTTTTCTTTTGAATCAGTGAATGGTGATACCAAAAAGAAGGCATTTTCTGCATTTACTCCGACAAACTCACTCGTTTTACGAAGAAGCTCTGAAATGAATTATACATGAAAATATGACCCCATTATCGATACGAAGTGATTATTTTATAGCTAGTCTGTTTGCGAATCTAAAAAGCCTAAAACTCGTATCTGTTTACCATGATGAAATGAGATTGTATTTGCACACTGTTTGTTAGTCTTCAGGTGTGCAAGCAGTATCTGAAAGATGCATTACTGCATCAACCAAATTTGTTTTTTACAACTACTTTAAATACAACTATTTTCGTTTTCTCCACCATGTTTAGAAAATTGAATGGGAAACAAACAGAAGAATGAGTATAACTTTCACATGAATACTTCTTTTTATATATTGCTTTTGGAGATGACTAGGCAGTTATTTCTTTTTTTTCCTGAATTCTCGAATAGACGCTATGATTATCAGCTGTCCAAGGTGTAATGAATAATTTCACCGTTCTTTTTTCTTTCTTACCTATTTTTCATGCTTCTTGCGAAATATACTACAGTTGATCAGGATTTAACCCACACTATGAGTAAAATCGAGACAGAAGAAGGTTGAAAAAAACAATACAGAAGAGAAGAAAAGAAAAGAAAAGAAAGAAAAAGAATTGGAAAGAATAGAAACGTGGAAGGTTTTCTACCCTTATTTGATTGTTTGACTAAAGTTTCTCAGATGATAAAGTAGAGAAGGCAACGAAAAGAATCAAGCCAAAAAGCAAAGAAAATGCAAAACTCGTTTGATCATGTGCTTAAAAACTTGAAAAGTGTCCAAAATGAACACAAGTGAACTGATAAAATAAAATATTTTCTTTAGAAAACACATGACGAATATGAATCATTCCACTACTCGTCCAAGCAGGTATCATCTACAATTGAAAAACAAATATATAAAATGGTGAATAAGACTATTTCTCATAAAAACTCTCGCATAAATAGTGCTGATGGGATTTACTAGATTTGCGTAAAACGTTTGGGTAGATAATTACGACATAGTTTAATCTATAAGTGTTCAACAAATATTGGTTTTATTCTACTAAACAAACTAGCAGTTCCATTTGCTTCTGAAACGTGTTTCAGCACTAGGAATGTTCGGTCCGTGGTTCTCCCAATGAAACTAGAACCATGGTTTCTTTTTTCGAAACCCAGATTTTTTTACTGGCCTTTTTCTTAAAAAAATGCAAACGCACTATTGAGAAAGCTACAAAAAGATATAGTGGCCTGTCATCCTTTCGCTTACTATAAAACGAATTCTATTTCGTTAATTGTTACTGCATGAAAAATTATTTTCCAGTTCTGAGCTGAAAACCGAGAACCGTGGTTCTTTTCGTTTCGGTTCTAACTCGAGAACCGAACATCCCTATTCAGCACAGAATTTCTTCATCATGTAAAGTACTGTACAGCAAAACCATATAACGGAGCTGAAACACTTTTAAAGTAAACCCGCGATCAAATACTGGAAAAAATTTATCTCACTAGACTAGACATGAGCATATGTGTGGAACAAAAGAATTGACTTCGATCCCAATACCGAAGAAAAAACTTTTTAGTCTTAATCAGGACCAAACACTTTTTCTATTAGTTCTAATCCCGTCCTCCCCAAAAACTTTTTGTTTTGTCTTGCACATGTCTACGCTAGACATTTCACATTTTGCTTCTTATATTTTCACTTTTCTTACTGAACCGATTCAGCTATCCCTTATAGTTTTCCACTTCACGCTCATATACGTATTTAGTCAAATTTATCTTCTGGTAGATATTTCCCATCATTTTGTTACGCAAAAAGAATAAAGACAGATTTGTGTAATATAACGATCTTTCTTTTGTTTTTGGTTAATTCAATTTTCAATCATAACATGATTAAAAGAAACGAAAACCAGTGAATAACAACATTAAAATAAAAAATGCAACTTTTTTTCCTTTTCCATTCTTCTAGTTCCACTTTCAAAATTTTTGAAATTGTTTTTTTGAACCAGAAGCTTTTGCTACTTTGAGTACATTAAATCGTACGGTTTTACTCAATGGTCGGCATTCACCAATTGTTACAACATCGCCAATGCTAACATCTCTGAAACAAAGGAAAATCATTCCTCACATTTCTGTCTGAGAACAAACAGATTCTCCAAGGAAAGTATAGTTTTGACGATAAAACAAAATGAAAACTTTCTAAACTCGTACGTTCTTTTTCACATATTATATCATAGTCAAAATCAAGCTTTCTGATTCTTCTATGACTGGTATAGGATAATTTTTTAAGACAAGAAACGGCTAATGGCTCAATAATTTTTGATAGAAAATAGAAAGGAGAGGGAGGCCTATAACGGTAAATTTTGTTCAAAATGACATACTGTGATTCTTATAGGCCCATATTATATTTTTTATAAAATAAGACACATACCTGAAACATGGACTCAAATGTACGGACATATTTTTATGTCGTTTTTCAAATCGATTATATTTTCGGACATAATGTAAATAATCTCGTCTAATAACAATTGTACGTTGCATTTTCATTTTTAATACAATGCCAGTTAATATACGACCTCGAATACTAACATTTCCGGTAAATGGACATTTTTTATCAATGTATGAACCTTCAATAGCCTGCAATGGAAAATAACAACTATGAAGCTAATGTAAACAAAACAGTTTATTCTACTGTAGAAACTATCATCTTCCAGGAAACGTATTAAAATCAATCTTAAAAACAAGTTCTTTAGCAACAGAAAATTTACCCATATTACTTCGATTTTTCAAATTCTAAAATCGTGAAAAAAATCTTCATATCTGACACTTACTTCTCTGGGTGTTTTAAAACCTAATCCGACGTTTTTTGTATAACGGGCAGCTTTCGCTTTCCCTTTCAACGTTTGATTTTTTTTATTCAAGAAAATTGTTGGTTGTTTTTGAAATGAACGTTCCTAAAAAGGAAAAGGTTATATTAGCTTGATTTGTGGCAGATTTGAAAAAGGAAAACTTACGTGTTCCATGTTTATGCTGTAAGTTTGTTAAAATTGAAAACAGCGATCTCTAACACGTATTATTAAGCAAGTGTTTTGCAGTTTTCTTTTTTTTAAGACATGATCGGAACCATTTGAAAAGACTTCCGACCTTACTCCAGTCTCATCAAAATAATCAAGTAAATTTTGACGCATGTCCAGAATCTCAAAGTAATTGTAGTCTTTAATCCTACAAAAACAATATTAGTAAATCACACATATTAAATTTAAAGCGAGAATGCACTTACAGGACACACAAATTCCGATAGATGCCCCTAGTGAATAAAGCTTTACTCATACATTATTGCTTTACTGTAAATGCTAATTCTGTTTTATTTATGCGACTGTCATTACTTCGTTATTAACAATATCATAACTGCACCAAACGTCACGTATAGTGGAACAAAAGTAACGAGCCTCGTGAGAAATTCTCAGAATTCCAGAAAGGGTCCGCTAAATCACGTCTTGCAGAAATTGAAAATCTGTACAAGTGCTTTAAAGATTCGGCTTCCTGAAAATTCTTGAGCAAGATCTTGATCAGGATTCACTACGACTCTGAGTGTGACGCATCTTGAGATGAAATTTCCTTTTTCAAGAAAGTTCTTAGAAGCTACGGGGTGTCACAGAAGTTTTGCAACATCTTATGTTTTTCGAATATTTCAGCCTAGATACACCATAGATTATTCAATCTGTTTTCAAAAGATGCGCAATTTCAACAAAATTGATGTTGACTATATTTTGCAGTAATGAAATTATAAAGCTCTACAGGTCAAACGTTTTGATAGAATCAAGTTCAACAACTTCCTACTGAATTTTGGAATTGTTCGTGTGTAGAATCTCAACAAATGTCGGGCTCATAAAATACGACTCACCAATAGATAGTCCTTAAAAATGTCTACTGATTGCATATACTTAGACATTTTCAGTGCTACTTTCTACTCGTTGAATGGCATTTTTTCTAAAAGTCATATTTCGAAAAACAGCACGATTTTCCCCTTCCAGCTGCTGTCTTCAGAAAAAAACATTATGAGAAAGCCATTTATAGCTCAGAAAAGATCATTAATATAAAGTTTTATACGAAAACGATGTACCCTTCTTTCTACCACAAAAACAGTGAACACAAACATAGGTGAACATTTTTATAGGATTAGGAGATAGTTAATTGCTGCAAAGGAGCGATTTTCATTTGGAGGAGGAGGTAGGTTTATTATAAATAATAAACGGTACAGAAAAAGGCAGATGACAAGTGATCTTTTGCCGGAAAAAAGAGAGTTTAAAAAATTAATTCCTTTTTCCACTTAGGTGTTATATTCCCCTTTTTTGTTTTTGTTTTTTTCTTTAGTTTTCCTTCTTACAGTTTTAGGTACAACAACATGACAACGGTAGGTCATAATGATTTTTGAGAAGTGTCTTTGCAAAAATTTACATTACTCTTTTGTTTCCTTATTGAATAGCTCTGTTTAGATAATTTGTTATTTGTTTCTTACAGGACTCTTTAATTAGATCCTGATCGATGTGTTGGCGTACATATGATCCAGGAGTGTAGAAGGGCACTTTCGATACATATCTTAAACCTTTGTTCTCAATCACTTGTATTTTGTTGCAATATTTATCATCAGCTATATTGATGAAGGTTGGTGCAGCATATGTTAACAGTCAGCGTACCAAACTCTTGTAGACCAGTAGCAGTGATCTTTCTGAATTTTCACCTGCATTCTTTGCTACACTGTAATTTGGAATTAATTTCTAGTTTATAGAAAATCGTGGAGCTTTTTCTGATATTTATAAAATGTTCGTAGATTTTCTGACTTTTTAGAAATTCGCGATTTTCTATTTTCTAGAAAATCGATTCGATTTTCTATAAATCGAATTTTCATTTTATTCAGAAAATCGCCATAGAATTTCCAAAAATATCAAAATTCGGCGTCGATTTTCTAAATATTGGAAATTCGAGTGTGATTTTCTAATATTGTAGAAAATCAATCGATTTTCTAAAATGCAATGAGTCATTTTGTTAACCTTAACTTTGACAGCCGTATATATATGAAGCTTTTAATATCAGTTATCCGAATAATACGAAAATGACTCTTCAAACAGTCAATGGTATTCTGTTTAAATCAACAGATTTTAATTTGTCGCTTGGTTCTCAACGTTTTCTAGAATCAGTAAGTTTAGAGAAGTTAAAATATCTGTTAAGTGAACACGAGATAAGGTTAGAGTAAGATCTAAATAATAATCACCAAATTAACAGACACTGTTTGACCTTATCATCTTTGTACCAATGAAAACACAAAACGCAAAACGCTTTAAATTTCTTAAAATGGGTATGTTCATTGCTTTCCCAATTTAAAATAAATGCCGATGATGGGCTTTTGGAAAAGTAATGAACTATAGCTTAATAAAAAAAATTGCAAATACCAGCTTTATCCTCTGTGCTCAGGCCTTGAAACAAGGAGCTGTCTCGCAAAAGCTAGTTAATTTCTTTTGAGAGTACATTATTTCTCCATGAATAGAACTATAGAGTTATA